CTTAAAAGAAAAATAGACATGATAAAACATTGCTTTACAAACCTTAAGACTTAATAAAAAAATTTGATATTTTGCATATAAAAGCATTGTAACGTTTACTGCTAATCTGCCAAATTTCGTTAACATTCGCTTACTGATTGAAAAGTTATAGCATGAAAATTATAACAAGCACAAAATGGTTACGAGGTGAGTCCCAGGAACTAAGCCCGTGCTGAAAGAGTTAAGCTGTGCCTAATAGCAACCTCACTAGCTACTATTATGTTTAGTAGTTTTCTGATTCAAAATTACAGTATTACATTTTCAGATTTCTACATTGTGTATTTGATACATTTTCATCTACGACAATTAGGGCTAAAAAGTAATCTGAAAATGTATCAAATTAAATGAAAGGTAGTTCAAAACTGTCTTTAAAAAAACAAACCTGAAATAAAAGATTAATTTAATGTAAGAATAAATGATTAATTGATGAATGAGCCAAAAGATTAAATTCCACTAATTGTCCAGCTCTAGTCTAGGAACAATATCAATATCCTCACCTCAATAGTCGATTCCATCATTAAAAAATGTGGTATAACAGAATAATGTTTCTTAGTAATTAAGCACAAAGCTACACAATGGGCTATCTGTGCTCTGCCCACCACGGGTATCGAAACTCAGATTCTAGCATTGTAAGTCCGCAGACATGCCACTGGGGAGGCTACAGAATAATGAGCTAATGTAATATTGTTTTAACTATGAAAGAAACAATTAATATTTGTCAAAGAATGCAATGAGGTGAAATTTCAGCATTCATCACTGACCTACACTAATGCTGTTTGTCAAAAAGCTACACTTCAGCTGCCGGGCTGAGATCTCTTAATTGTCAAAGAACCAAAATGTTTGGAAAATTTCAAAAAAGTATATGACATTTTTGGGGCCTTTCTAAACAATATCAGACCTTTTAATATGGTCTACTGACATTCTAATCAGTATAGTTTACTCTCCAAAGTCTAATAATGCTCCTTGAAATTACAAAACTGCACACTGTCCGACTTGCATGTTTAAGACGTGATCGTGATAGTACAAGTACCCACGACATTCCTGATTACTTTTCATTCGAAAGCAAGCTAGACAAAACAATATCTGTACTCTGAATTGTGTCACGCGGTACGATTCAACACACGCACAGAAGAGATAAAAAAAAACTGGCTTCATAAAAATCAAATAACAGACCTACAAGCACAAAAAAAAATGTGCAAGTGGGGTTGAGTATATTATAAAATACTATCATTCTTGCACATTAGCACAAAAGTAATATAAAAATATACCATTCCTTTTTTTGTATAATCAGAATTACCTCTTGCGAAGCATGACTAAGTTGAAACTATAGTCGAAACACAGTTGCATACAAATTAATCAGTTAAAAATTAAGAATTACCAACTCATAGAAAAGTAATAGTATAAACTTTGCCTTCTGCCTAATTAGATCTTATCCAAAAAAAAAGAAACAAGTACTACATTAAATGACATGTAACCAAGTAGATGCAAGTGTACTTTACAAATAAGGCAATTATACAGTTTAAATACAACACATTTTTTACAGCTATTTCAATGTTAAGATTCATTTTAATTTTATCATCCAATTTAGACAATGATGTTTTTCTTTCACACTTTAACATAGCTGAAGTCATAATGAGTGCAATAAACTTCACTTTACTACAAAACATTTCTAGTCCACATAAATTACAACTATGTTGCATGGAATGTCTTTTACACACAAATTATTAATGTTACACGTAATGTCTTTCACACACAAATTATTAATGTTGCACGCAATGTCTTTCACACACAAATTATTAATGTTGCATGCAATGTCTTTCACACATAAATTATTAATGTTGCACGCAATGTCTTTCACACACAAATTATTAATGTTGCACGCAATGTCTTTCACGCATAAATTATTAATGTTGCATGCAATGTCTTTCACACACAAATTATTAATGTTGAATGCAATGTCTTTCACACATAAATTATTAATGTTGCACGCAAACCACTAAAGCTTACCAAGAAGCTGCATAAGCTGTTGCTGACTTATATTATTAAGAAGATTATGCAAATCTCCATCTCCAAGATTGCTTAGTTCTGAATGGAGTCCTTGAGAGGAATTTGAGCCACCAATTCCTCCTCCAATCCCCGAGCGAGAGGAGCCTGGAGCCGGGGGATTGTTGAGATATTCATTGACTTTGTTACAATATTCATCATCTTTATCTGTCTTTGGTTCCTTTTAGAGTAAAAGATGAAGAATAAATCAAAATGTCATAAAATTAGCATCTTCCAATGAATGTGATTTCTATAATAAAACAATATTTAACTAAGT